TGATTTAAGTCAGACGGTTCCCCGCGCTCCCCGTTTCCCCGTCCCCCGGCGCTAACTGCTCTCCGCTCTGCCGGCCGCAGGTGACCAGGATGCTGCACCATGGGAAGCACTGGAGGTCCATGTGCAAGGGGCTCATCCTGGGGACCCTCCTGACCAGCTTCATGCTGCTGCTCTACTCCTACGCCGTCCCTCCGCTGCAAATCAGCGTGACAGAGTGAGTGTGGGGTCCCCAACGTGTTCCGACCCCCCCAGCAGCTCGGCCACCCCGTTTCGCACCGGGCACCCCCAACCAGAGATGGTCCCAGGGCTTTCCAGGCTCTGGTGGCTTCACACCGAGATGTCCCCTTCCTACAGCCTCCTGTTGGAGACTGCGCCCTGTCCCCAGGGTGGGGGGGAAGGTGAACCCCAACTCTCCAGGGGGCTGGGGACGCTCACCCCGGGGGGAATCTCGCTGCAAAATGGCAGCCAGAGCTCAGCTCCTGGGCGACAGAGGGGATGAGGAGGTGCTGGAGACCCCCTGCCCACTGCGGCTTCATGTCCCCGGAGAGAAGGAGAAGCTCCACAGGGGACGTTTCCCCCATCCAGGAGCAGTGGGCAGAGCTGAGGAAGTTATTCGGGTGCTCTTTATCAAGGGCTTGTCCTTCAGGAGTAACCACAGCGCTGCCACGTGTAAACTTTCTCCCACAAAGATGGGCATGGGTAGGTTCAAAGTTCTCTGCTATCCGTCATGGCAAAAGCTGGTGCTCAGTAAAGTTATCCCTCCTGGCATTAAATTTATCTCCAGGCTTATAAAAGAGATCTGCCTGCGGGTGGTTCACAAGCCACGTGTCGACCCGCGCTCCCCCACGGTGCTGGATGGGAGCGTTATCAAGGATCAGATTTGCAACTACTTTAGTTGTCCAAAGTCGCTCGACACTGTGGTCTCTGTTCCCTGCTGTGGGCATCTCAGATAACCCACGAGTTGTTCTTGATGCTCCCGACTGCCCATGAGCTCATCCGAGGGGCTGTGCTCTAGAATTATTTCCCTCTTTGCTTGGGTGCTGGATCCTTCCCAACTCCTACAAGGGGTTGAGAGCTTCCAGACCTTGCAAGAACGTTATCAGCTCCTGTCCATGGAGTTACAGCCATGGAGAGCTCATCTCAATGCACATCTCAACATTGCCTGCACCAGGGCCACCATGGCGGGGAGGGATGGGGACCCCCCCACTGGGGCTGCACCGATGCTGGTGGGGGCTGGCCACCATGAAGACCCCCGTAGCAGTGCATCCTCGGTGGCTGGGGTTGTTCAGGGGGTGACTGAGCCGGTTTGGTGGCTCAGAGGTGCACCTGATGTTGGGGGGGTCATGGGGGCGGAGGGCTCTGCCCCACTGGCCGAGGGGCTACTGCCAGGTGGGTGCCCTGGTCCCACTGGGCACGTGGCTGAGGGTGAAGGGGGCTCTGCCCAACGCCGGGCTCGTCTCTGCCGGGGAGCCTGGGGGGTGCTGGGGGCGAGTATCCGTCCCTGGGGTGAGCACCCATCCCCAATTCCAGCACCCGTCCCCAGGGTGAGCACCCGTCCCAGGCCCGGCCCCTCCATGAAAGAAAATGGCCAAGCCTTCATGGTGGTGCCCTCACCGTGGTGTCCTGCCTCTTCTCCCCACCAGGATCCCCGTACCTTCCTCCTGCTCCTCCCACCCGGCCCCCGGCACGGTGCCGTCAGCGGCCAACGGCACGGGCAGCCCTTCGGGACGGAGCTGCGTGCCCAAGCTGAACATCATGTTCATGAAGACGCACAAGACAGCCAGCAGCACCATCCTCAACATCCTCTTCCGCTTCGGGGAGAAGCATCGCTTGAAATTCGCCTTCCCCAACGGCCGCAACGACTTCTACTACCCCTCCTACTTCGAGCGCAGCCAGGTGCAGCACTACCGGCCGGGCGCGTGCTTCAACATCATCTGCAACCACATGCGCTTCCACTACGAGGAGGTGCGCAAGCTCCTGCCGGCGGACGCCACCTTCGTGACGGTGCTGCGGGACCCTGCCTACCTCTTCGAGTCTTCTTTCCACTACTTTGGGCGCGTCATTCCCCTCACCTGGAAGCTGACAGGGGAGGACAAGCTGGCGGAGTTCCTCCGGGACCCCTGGCACTACTATGACCCCAACGGGTTCAATGCTCACTACCTCCAAAACCTCCTCTTCTTTGACTTGGGCTACGACAACAACATGAACGCCAACAGCCCGCTGGTGGAGGAGTACATCCAGGAGATAGATCGTCGTTTCCACCTCGTCATGTTGCTCGAGTACTTTGACGAGTCCCTGGTGCTGCTGAAGGACCTGCTGTGCTGGCAGCTGGAGGATGTTCTCTACTTCAAGCTCAACGCCCGGAAGGGTTCCACCGTCTCCCGGCTGACACCTGAGCTCTACGAGAAGGCCACCTCCTGGAACCTCATCGATGCCAAGCTCTACCGCTACTTTAATGCCACCTTCTGGCGTAAGGTGGAGGCCTACGGGAGGGAGCGGATGGCCAAGGATGTGGCCAAGCTGCAGCGAGAGAACGAGAAGATGAAGAGCATCTGCATCGATGGGGGACACCCTGTGGACGCCAGTGCCATTCAAGAGTCCTCCATGCAACCCTGGCAGCCGCTGGGGGAGAAGTCCATCCTGGGCTACAACTTGAAGAAGAAGATCAACAAGAAGCACCAGAAGCTGTGCCGCAAGATGCTGACGCCCGAAATCCAGTACCTGACCGATTTGGGGGTCAACCTCTGGATCACCAAGCTGTGGAGCCGCGTGCGGGACTTCCTGAAGTGGTAGCGGAGGGCGGGCGCCCCGCTCTCCCCGGGGAAGAACCAGGTGCTTTCCTTTTTCTTACTCATGGTGTCTTTTGGTTGGACGTGAGCAGAACCGGCTGGAGGCTCTGGCACCTGGGAACGCCGGGGGGACCCTCTGTCATGGGGGTCAACCTCTGGATCACCAAGCTGTGGAGCCGCGTGCGGGACTTCCTGAAGTGGTAGCGGAGGGCGGGCGCCCCGCTCTCCCCGGGGAAGAACCAGGTGCTTTCCTTTTTCTTACTCATGGTGTCTTTTGGTTGGACGTGAGCAGAACCGGCTGGAGGCTCTGGCACCTGGGAACGCCGGGGGGACCCTCTGTCACCGTCCTGCCAAGACCCCGCTTGGGAAGGAGCCTCTGCCCCCCCCCCCCACCTCCTTTTGGA